GAAAAAAAAAAAAAAAAAAAAAAAAAGAAGACGGATGCAGTCGTGACACCTGGGGACCAGGAAGCTGCAACATATTACAGTTTTTGCTTTTGAATGTAGAAAAGAACTCTGTAATGAAAGGGATTGTTACTGAGTTTGTCGTCTTTTATAACAACCTGTTGTAAATGTCCGAACCTTTATTCTAGACTAGACTGAAATGTACAATTATTTTATCAGTGGATTATTGTAATATTATTCTTGAATATAAAATGTTTCTAAAAAAAATGGAGGAGGTAAAATAATATTTTGCCTGTGTTGATGTTTACGATTTACCCTCACAGACAAGAAGCAAAAGGATAAATAAATATATGGTTTGGGGGGTCTTTTACAAACGCTAGCAACGCAGCAGTTGAAAATCAAATCAATAGGAAAAAATTGCAGAAAATTCAAAAATGGCTTGGCCAGCTGATTTGAAAAATGTTCCGGAGGGCTTGGCAGCGAAAGGGTTAATGGATCCCACAGATATCAGTAAAAACAAGGGTTCTAGACCTTCCACACTTGATCCAAAAAGGTTTTGGCTGCACATACATATTAATTTGTTTCAGCATTGTACTTTAGCTGTAAAATTCCTTTTATATACACATATGGGGCATGACTAAAACATCAGTACTGAGAACTCTAGATATTTATCTAAAGCAGCCAGTCCAAATCAAACTTACTATGCAGATTTCAAGGTATTTAGTGGCCGTGGGGTAGTAATTCTAGTTCTTACTCTTGACATTTTGATATATCAGACCCTTGATGGGTAGTCTATAATACGTATGCTGGATAAAGAAAATAGGCCAGGTGTATAGAAGCACTGGGTCCATGACTTTACCACTCTCTTACACAGAAACATGGGAAGAAGTGGTAGATGCTCTGATCTTTAGTCTCTCACTCCTCTTGGCATATTTGAAATGTTGGGGGGGGGCAAATGATTAATATGTTGAATACTGCATATACGCATATACAGCAAAAGGCTATGCTGCCAAAACATACTTAGGCAGGAACAGCTTGTTTTTCTGCTTCCTGTTGATAAGAAAATTTACCTTTGTCCCAAATGATCAGCTCAAGAACCATAGATCTTTGGGGAAGAAGATGCATCAACATTGACCAGTGAGATTTCACCAAAAGAACTGGGGTTCAGTGATTATGAAGGATATATTTCATGATCTGCTTTACTGTTCCTTTCCATTACATGCTCACCTCTGGTATAAGGAAATTTTCCTGCATACACTTTGGATCAATTGCTCGTAACTTCTCCATTGTTTCATACTGACCCTGACATGATTTAAGCTTTTCAGTGGAGCCAAGCGTATATTTCAGAAGGATAAGTGCAACTCGAAAGATGATTTTTACACCTGTAGATACAAAACAGGAATATAACAAATTAAATGAAAAAGGATGAAATCAAAATCTGGAGTGTTATAACTTTCACTATTATTTGTTAAGACCATACCATGTATTAGAACAGCAATCAAAACTCTACCCAAATGATTAACACAATGCCAGATTTATAACCTCCATGCAGCTATTTCAAATATTTGGATTCTTAAAAGGTCCACAATATCAACAAAATATTTCAGGCATAGGGGCAGAAGGAGAACAACTTTCCACTGGGGGTTCTTCACAGAGCGGTTAGGGTCTGGAACTCGCTATATATACATACACACACATACATACACACACAATAGGTTGGACTTGATGGACTTATGTCTTTATTCAACCTCAAATACTATGTAACTATCATAGAAAGTTAAAGGAATGCATGAACCTATGGTATCAGCTCTGTGACACCATAATGATTTTTTTCTCTTCTAGTGATTTGACTTCAGCAAAGGAAATCTGGTTGTTATGAGCTACAGCACTTTATTCCTAGTACTTTCCTCCTTACACTGTTTATTGAATAAGGTCACATATGTTTAAACAGAAACTGCAACATATCTCTATAGGAGATTAAAGAGCAAATATTTAGATGTAAAAGAATAATTTCCTAACACAAAGACGCTGGCATTGCTCACTTCTCATTCTGCCAATTCTAGTCTCCTGGTTGTCATGCTCACCCTAGGGCTTCCATACTTTGAGTCAGTATACAGATAAGGACGTTTTACTTTTCTGGGGCTCTGAAAGTACTAAAGCCAGAGGGCTAGCATGAGGGCCATTATGGATGGGCCTTGGGTTTGTATCAATGGGTAGCTTGCTTTTAGGTGTATTACACTTACATTTGAGATCAGTTTGAGATGCTTCTGAGATTTGCCCTCCTTCTCACCCGCATTTGACTCACCCTGCTTTGAACTGCTTTTGCATTCCTATTGACTTGTATTGTAGGTATTGACTAATGTATAGCTGTTTTGTACATATTTTCTTGTATTATGTTCGGAGATTAAAAAATAAAATAATCTAGATTTGTTTTTGTCAAGTAGACAGGGAAGTATTACATTATGAACCTTTTGTGTTTATAGAGTCCGTTACTACATTCAGTGCTCAGCTGCTTTTCACATTTTACAGTTCTCTTTACATCTGGTTGTAAAAATGTCTGTTTACACAATAACTGAAAAGCAGCACATCAAAATGTTCCTCAGTCCAACTTTATCCTTTATCTTCTTGTATCACCATCTCACTGACAAAGAGGACCTTGTATGGCCTAGAACCATGTAACGCTGCTTCTACTGGTGACTTAAAGTTGGATTGTGGAACGTTTTGGTGTGCTTGTGAAATGTGTTCTATGTATTCTGTTTCAAATCAGTTCTATTTTGAGGACACCATCCTTCCCATTACTACAACACACTTATTACTGATCTCGGGTCTATTCTCTACCCATCTCTCTAGAATGCCTCAGTCCTAGATGGGAGTCCAGGCTGTCTTAAATTTAGATAAACCCATAGCGCTCTTGGAATCCCTTTTCCTGTATTATGGGGTGAATCCATCAAAACTGGAGCAGACAAAATCTGGAGCAGTTGGCCAGAGAAACCAATCAGCATCTCTCTTCAGTATAAACACACATAAGTTTTCATCTCCCATTTTTCCTATTTTGTTGCATTATCATTGTTGCATTGATTTACACAAAATGCCTACCACTTTGAAGATGCTAAATGTTTTTTTTATTGTGATACAAACAAGAAATTAGACACCCCCCGAAAACTTGAGCGGTCATAACTATTCATCCCCCAAAGTCAACACATTGTAGAACAAACTTTTACAGCCACTCTGCAAGGTAAAACTGCTCCAGCCTCTTCAAGTTAGATGGGTTTCACTGGTGCACAGCAATCTTTAAGTCATGCCACAGATTCTCAATTGGATTGAGGTCTGGGCTTTGACTAGGCCATTCCAAGACATTTAAAGGTTTCCCCTTAAACTGTGTGCATTAGCGGTATGCTTAGGGTCATTGTCCTGCTTGAAGGTGAAACTTCGTCCCAGTCTCAAATCTCTGGCAGACTGAACCAGGTTTCTCTCAAGAATATCCCTGTAATTAGCGCCATCTATCATTCCTTCAATTCTGACCAGTTTCCCAGTCCCTGTCCCAATGAAAAAAACATCCCCTCAGCATGATGCTGCCACCACCATGCTTCACTGTGCTGATGGTGTTCTCGTGGTGATGAGAAGTCCTGGGTTTGCGCCAGACATAGCGTTTTCCTTGAAGGCCAAAAGGCAAAATTATAGTCTGATCTGACCAGAGTACCTTCTTCCATATGTTTGGAGAGTCTCCCACGTGGCTTCTGGCAAACAGCAAATTAGTTTGCTTATTTTTTTCTGTAAGCAATGGCTTTTGCTGGCCACTCTTCCATGAAGGCCAGCTCAACAGTGTGTTTGGCTTAAAGAAGTCCTATGGACAGATACTCTAATCTCCACTGTGGTGCTTTGCAGCTCCATCAGTGTTATCTTTGGTCTCTTTGTTGCCTCTGTGATTAATGCCCTCCTTGACAGGTTTGTGGGTTTTGGTGGGCAGCCCTCTCTTGGCAGGTTTGTTGTGGTGTCATATCCTTTGCATTTATTTATTACACACACACCAAAAACAAAATACAAAATGATTCCAAACCATTATATTTACGCTTGCATGACATGGGCAGTACACTTTTCTTTAGGTTTACAAAGCAACCTCACATTCAGGAGAAAAGCAAAATTGTCCTTTGGAGTGGTGGCTTCCTCATACAGAAGTCAAAACTTCTAGCAGTGAGATATGCTCTCATGTATGTGCGGTATGCATGCTTATGCCTCTTTACTTAATGTCAAAAATGTAAGCAGTGACTGTACAGCTTAAGAGACACATTCTCTGGCTTTACTGATCCCTGTTAGAGTAGATCTTTCACACTCACATGACAATGTGGGTTAAAGTAAATCCAGCATAATATACAAAACAGAAGGCAAAAGCTAAACATTTCCAAACAATTACATTAAAAGAGCCACTAAACAAAAATAAGATAACTTTTTATGTGTGAAAGCATTTTAAGGCCAACTCCACCCAACAGTTTCCTGGCTTTGGAGATTCCCGATGGGCTGAATTACCCGCCTTCTCCTATGGTGTGATTTCCCTGTGACAGTTTATATTTCTGCCCCACAAAAAGTGTATCTATAGCCCAAATAGTTTTTGTTTGGATAGAGTAGGAGATGATCAGAACCACTGGCGTGGCTTTAGTCCTGTGTTCTGTGAAGGAAGATTTACCTTTACTTCCTTCTGTTGTATCTAACACAAGTTAGAAGAAAAATCTCTAAGGATCCCCTCTTAAACCCTAGTGAGTGGAACAGGTGCCCCTCTAAAGCCGTGTATACATACCGTGTTTCCCCGAAAATAAGACAGTGTCTTATATTTTTTTTTTCACAAAAAAAGACACTAGGTCTTATTTTCGGGGTAGGTCTTATATTACAGAAATCCCTGATGATAGCACTAGGTCTTATTTTCGGGGTAGGTCTTATATTACAGAAATCCCTGATGATAGCACTAGGTCTTATTTTCGGGGTAGGTCTTATATTACAGAAATCCCTGATGATAGCACTAGGTCTTATTTTCGGGGTAGGTCTTATATTACAGAAATCCCTGATGATAGCACTAGGTCTTATTTTCGGGGTAGGTCTTATATTACAGAAATCCCTGATGATAGCACTAGGTCTTATTTTCGGGGTAGGTCTTATATTACAGAAATCCCTGATGATAGCACTAGGTCTTATTTTCGGGGTAGGTCTTATATTACAGAAATCCCTGATGATAGCACTAGGTCTTATTTTCGGGGTAGGTCTTATATTACAGAAATCCCTGATGATAGCACTAGGTCTTATTTTCGGGGTAGGTCTTATATTACAGAAATCCCTGATGATAGCACTAGGTCTTATTTTCGGGGTAGGTCTTATATTACAGAAATCCCTGATGATAGCACTAGGTCTTATTTTCGGGGTAGGTCTTACTTTCGGGGAAACACAGTAGATATATAGATAGGATAGCTAGATAGATTTTCTTTGTTCAACCTTGTGCCCCTCTTAGGCACTAGTGAGCGGCACAGGTGCCCCCCTTGGCCACTAGCGCATAGAAAAGGTGCCCCCTTTGGAACATTTCCCCTCAGCTCCTGTTCTGGTGAAAACCATTAAGCTTTGGATTTCCACCTACTTTCTATTACTGCCCCAATGGTCACAAGGAGAAAGAGAGAGGGTCAAAGGTCCCAACAGAGAGCAAAAACTGACAAGGGTTCTCACACTTCACTACTCCATCCAAAACACTTTGGCTTTAGCTACACTGCCAGCAATCGCATAGCCAGATTAAGGATTGGGGGGAAATTTAACCTAGTATACGGTGAAATGGAGGGCATCCTTTACAAATCAAACAGTTGAGAGGAATGGAATTTGATAAACCTGGTACACAAAGTTCCAAGACAACAGCCTAATAGATACCCCTCCGCAAAGTATATCCACCTTTCTCTCCCAGCTACAACGGGTTGCTATTCTGCACTGCTATACAACAGAACTATATCACAAGATTTGAAAATTCAGGTTAGGAATTTGCCAGAAGATACATTCCTCTTTTTCATCCAACATCACTTACAAAGGAAGTAGATCCCCAGAGATCACAGAAAGTTGGTGAATCTCATAAATCTAATACTCACAATTAATAGATGATTGTGTAATAGTTTCATAACCAGTGTTACAGCAGAAAACAGCACACAAATACATCTCAGTGACGATACTTTTACATATATTGTAATCGTCATAGTATTTTTAGTACCTATTTTGAATAATGTACTTTAAGTTAAAAAAAAAAAAATGTATTTTAAATGTATGTGTCCTTTAAAATACCAAAAACAGAAGGGGTGAGACACAGACATGTGCTAAATGACAGTAAGCAGAACAAACACCCTGTGCTCTTCACTTGTCCTGGAAAAGCATGTGGAGACAAGCAGCGCTAGTCACACACCCTATAATGAGCAACAGCGCTTTGCAACATGAATCCTGCCCATCTAACAAGGCCACCGCACGCCTCACTCTGAGCTGGCAGTGCACCGGGAATGCCCTGGGAGAAGACAGCACAGTGCATCAGATATGAGTCATAAGGGCAGCCTCACGTATTTCACAAAATACCACCGTTCCCCAATTTCACACAATCTGCTCTACTGTACTTTAGGAGTGCACTTCTCTAATCCACTGGATGGATACTCTCTCCCAGCCCACAACATTTACCCCCTCTATGGCCCATGGCCCTACTTTAGTGTGTTGACCCTTTAACCCAGGGGTCTCACACGCTATTCACTCGGCGGCCACTGGACAAATTTGTTTCTACCATGAGGGCCGCTTACCAAATTTCATTCAACAATGACTCTCCCTGGATGCATGATTGTTGTGTCCAGAGATAGTGATTGATTCCCAACCGCATGTAATCGTATCACATATGATTACATGCGGTGTGCAGGCATTTACATGCAACTGTCACCAGACCATTAAGTTGAACGGGTGACAGTTGCCACTTTTTAGGCTTGGTTCACACCTAAGCAATTATGCTGTTTTCGCACGTTTGTTGTGTGGGGGTTTTTGTTTTTGCGCGACTTTTGCTTTGAAAACCGGGTAGAGATTTCTATGGGACCAAAACCACACGCATCCGCCTGAAAATAGCTCCTGCATCTTTTTGCACCACAGGCAATTTCCTTTGCCTGAAGAAGCAACCATGCTGGTATAACGTTGCTGTAAAATGCTACACTATTTCTAGTCAATAAACAAGATTGACTTGGCATTGCATTGGAGTGCGAGTGACTTCCTGTTTGGACAGGCAATTGCGCATGCAACACAAAGGTTCTAAACAGCCTCAATTGACTTGATTGCAGATCTGCATTTTGTGCAAATCCGCACAACAACGCCACCCCTGCACTCTTATGAATATAAGCAAACACAGACTAACACGCGCCTAAATAGCTTCATCTCCAGCAAGAATGGGAAGAGATTGACAGCTCTGAAACCAGAAATGTTCAGAGTTCAGTGCTTCCATGTCTAGGTTCATGTCAGTGGTTACATGCCTGCGCTGCCACGGATGTAGTGTTTACGACTGTAGCAGCAAAAGGTTGAAAGGCATGAATGAAAAATATCACCTTTATTTATTTTTACTTTCTTGCTGCCATCAATGGCTAACATGGCACAACACTTCACATTTAAAGAAGTGAAGTTGTTCAGTACAGATACAGAGTTACATGAAAATATTACCTTCGCAAAAAAACATGTCCCACACTCGCAAGACAGAGCTCCAAGGAAGTGTCCGTGAAAATGCACACATAAACCATTCCGTCATATACAAGATGGGGTCAATCTTCTGCTTGCTCAGGTGTTTGTATGCCACTGTGGACACTTTACGAAGCAGTGCAAACAGAATCCTTCCATCCAACTGAATTGCTTCCTAGAAAGAATAAAAAATGGTATGTCAGCATTCACAAATCGATAATAATTCAGCAGACTTTGCTTAACCCCTTAAAGACCAATGACAGAATTATTCTTGTCCTTGCCATAAGGACCCATGGCGGAATAATTCCGTCATGGGTCTTAAAGGGTTTAAGCTTCTTTCATGCGCTAAATGATAACTTATATATGCATATGTCACATCGAAAAGCCTATATATCATCTATATATATTATACACACACACTATATGTTTTATTAAACAGTTTAGGGTCTCTTATTGCTGGGTTGGATCAGTTTGGGGGCTGTATACTTATTTTATTGCCTCCATGCATGTCAGCTACAGCAGATCACTGTTTTCAGCAAACTATTGTAGTGATCTATTGTTGTAGGGAATGCTCTTATGGAGCCCTCTACACCAGGATTAGGTCCAGGAGCTGACTGTGGTGGTTCCAGTATCTATGCCCGCCAGAAGCCGCCACAACTTTCCATAGTCACTGATGTTTTATAATAGCACTGTGGCTGACAGAAGT